ACAGTCATAAAGAGGTTAAAAGGACATTGGAAACTAAGAAGGGAGAGGATGGCAGGGGAGGGATAAAAACTTACCTATTAGGTACAATGTACACATTTCTGTGATGGACACACTAAAAGCCCTGACTTCAGCATTAAGTCATCCATGTAACAAAAACATTTGTATCCCCTTAATATTTTGAAATTAAAAAAAAAGAATACATAAAATAAGAAAATATAGTTAATACCACTAGAAATGTGAGTAAAGCCATCTTAGACCCTCAAGACCACCCTCTCTGTCAGCTGAATACTATTGTGAGCACTCCATCAACAGAACCGAATAATCAGCCAGCGGAGCCCTGCCCAAATTCCTGGCCCAGAAACTTATATAATAACACAAACTAGTTGTTTTCAGCCATTAGGTTCTGGGTAGATTGTTATGCAGTAATAGTTAATTGGAACATTGCACCACAACTTTGAAGTCCCTTCAGTTTCCATCCCATACACTAGAAATCCACTTAAATGACTATTAAATTGTTTATTTTTGACTAATGCAAAAATTCAGTGAAAATTTAACTACAAGTGATTTCTTCGTATCTTTTGTCAGAATTACACTTGGATAATATATTTAATCAGATTCCTTTTAATGATTCTGGCAAATAGAAAAATGACATAAAAATACAAAGTAATGCAAGCAAATAATAGAAATGATTCCTGGGTTTCTATATTATAAAATCACATTCTCAAACTTGCATAAGCAGAATAACTCATTCTTTTCAAACTCACTTTGCCAAAGGATAGTTGTTGGAGTTTCCAGTTGATATTAACATATATGGGCCATGTGGATAATGCTAACATTGAAAACGATGAAGTTACACAGATGGAGGAAGAAGAAAACTAACACTATCTCTGTTTCCATAAAAATTAATTTCAGAGGGTCTTAGGGTTTTCCCAAATAGTCATTGCATGGCTGCCTTCACTAGTGCCTGCATTTCCCTGTCCTGTGGTTGCCTCCATCTGGAGTTTAATATGCACTCATCTCTTTTCTATTCCAGGAGGGATATGCAATGAAAATCTCCATATTAGTCATCAGCTGTCGACATTGACAAATTTCAATTACCATCCTTCGGTAGCGGTTCACACTAGAGAAGGAAATCAGAATGGCAAACTGGGATAGCATACTTGTGACAGATCTATTTTAATTGCTTTTCTTATCCACATTTAACCTCTATCATTTTGACAAGAGAAAGAAACTCACAGAGGAGGTAACTTTTCCTGCCAGTGATCAAGAGGAGGAGGGTGGGAAAACAGAGCTTGCTAGGAAGAGACTGGGCAACATCCATCAATATATGGACTGGCATTGATTGCTGGGGCTGCTTTCCTTCCCCTGTGAGGCCCGCCGGTAACTTTCTGTTATCAAAATACTTTGCATTTAATCAGATGCCTGGATGGATGTTCCTGCTGATCATCCATAAATTATTCATCCATTAAAAAGACTTGGCACAATTTATTTTTGCTTCATTTTCTGAGAGATGAATTTTCAAGAGCTCCATAGCAGGAGTTTACCTTAGTGGATTCTTGTTACTTCTAACAATACTGCTCATTTAGCCTTTTGATTGCAACTTGATGTTTGCATTGAAGGATATCTCTGCAGTGATCGGTCATGTAGAATTGTGCTGTTTTGCTTTTGCTGCTTTCTTTTTCTTTAATCCTGAGGGATCAAAATGCTTTTTGTGAAATAAAGAGGAAATGTTTTTTGTTAATGAGACGTGCTAGTAAAACACTTATGACCTTTGGTTTTTTATGTACCCATTCCTCAGGGGATTTTCATCGTGGGTTGTTCTGTGTCTTTAGTGTTCTGGTTTCCGGTATAATCCATTCAAAATTAACGGCAATCATTAGCTAATATTTACTGGCCCTGACTATGCTTCAAATTGCAATATTGACCATACAACATGGTTATTTATTTTAAAAGGCGAAAGATTTATACAATCTGAAGAGAAACCAGAGTATGGTTATTTATTTTAATCTTCAAACAACCCCTATGAGTTAAATACTGTTATTATCCATATAATACATATAATAAAGAATCTTGGAGATTTTTAGTAGCTTGTTCAGGGTTATACAACTAGAAAGTAGTGCCTGGGACTCATTCTCAGGGAGTCTGACTCCAGAATCTGTATTCCAAATCTTTGAGCTCCACTATTCAGTGGCAGTCTATGTCTACATTGTTTTATTAACCATTTTAGTCATTATTACTGCCCTGCTAAAGAATAACATCCTCCAGGGGACTTACAAATTCATTAATGCTTTGAAACTAAAAAAAGAGGATAATGTGGTTTCGCCCATACTAGGAAAAGACCAAAAGGGCTAAGTTAATTTTCCCAAAGAAATTAATGGCAGGAGACAAGGGCAGTATTTAGATTAGTTAGATTTGAGAAAATTACTGAGGGAGTTGACCAAGGCATTGCTGACTTCAGGAACAAGTAAAAACATGAGTGCAAATGGAGTCATGTGGACCCAAAGGGCACAGAATCATTTGTCATCTGTGACTCTTCTGTGGTCTTTTCTAAGTATGGAACTGTAACAGTAGCCTAGGTAGTTTCTCTTTTATATCCCTTTTCTCCAATTTAGTTCATATTCAAGCTGGATCTAGAGGATTATAAGAGCCATATTCACACAGATGTATAATAAAGGGATATATGTTTCCTCTTAATTTTAATCATTAAACTCCTGGAACAATACCTGTCAGTTAACAATATTTACTGATCATCTACTATGTATATAATTTAAGAAATATGCAAAATGAAATGAAAAATACTGTAGTCCTCTGAATTTTCAAGATGTCTAATGGATGCTCCTTTCACCCAGGTAGAAGGAATGAGAAACAGAGTAAGGTGTTAACAAATTTCCAATTGTGAGAAGGAAGTTAAGACAGGAGAGAGAGCACATACTGCTGTGAATACCAGGCCAAGAATGGCCCAGAAGGAGGCAAATTACAATCAGTTATTAATCATGGTGGAATTGAGAGGGGTTAAGGAAGTAATTAAAACCTTCCTCTGAATAGAGATTGCAACCTTTAAGTTGAAAGAATAGTCTTGGCAGAGTTTAATAGAACTCTTCCTAATTATTTAAAGGATAAACTCTGGTGTTTGATAGTGTTCCTTTTTAAATGCAAGCAAATCAAAACCACCCAGGGGTATGTGAATTAACTGTGCTCATGTATAAACTATAAAGTGCTTTGTATCTAAGATAATGCATAAGACAAGCTGAAGACAAATCTACGAATGCATGTAGACTTGCTTGTGCCAAGATTCCTTATATTTCGTTAGGTAGTATCCCAAATGAGATATAATACACCTTGGGAAATCTCAGTTGCTTGGTATAATTGAGGAGCCTGTGCAATGCAGGGATGCCTTTAGAATGATTAATATGGGAGAACAGATTTGAGTTATAAATATAATAGTTATTTCTGCCCCTGGGAGTATGACACATTTATCATGTAGCTCTCTAGCACCTGACAGCTAGGGCTTAAGGCTGGGGAGGGGAGGGCTCACATTTATTGAATGCATATTGTATATTAGGAAATGTCTGGGCTCTGTATATTATTTCATTGAAATCTCAGAGAGACTCTGTGAATAGGCATCATTAGTACTGTTAAATATGTAAGGAAACTAAGGCACGGGGAGCTGAAGTAAAATGGCCAATGGTCATAAGGTTGTCACTGCAGAAGCTGAGTTTAAATCCAAGGTCACAGGTCTTTAAAGTGTACACTTTCCACTACTATATCATGCCTGCCTTCTAGAGATTATAGGTACTTCCTGAACATAGTAGGTACTTAATAAATGTTTGTTGTGTGAGCTCTGAAGAATCAGTCCACCTGTACTTAATGGACTTGAACTTTTATTAAAAAGAAGAAATAAAAGTGAAGTGCAATTAAAAACAACACATGAATATTATTAAAATAATAGACATAAACACATATAAGTAATAACATTTATAAGAACTGAATGGAAAGTACTATTATTGAAGCATAGTATTTATCAAAGCACACTTCTTAAAAAGGGGAAGAGTAAACATTGCTTTTTAAAATATGTAATTCCTAATTAAAATTTTTACTCCAAATCTCTTACCAATCCCTTCAGAAATACATATGACAGTTTTTCAACATTATATGCTGGAAGATGCTTAAAAGCATATTTATTTTACAGTAATTTTACTGCAGCATTGGAGCACATTTTTCTTTCAGTAATAAGGGAAATTAAAAGCATTTGCTAATTTTTTTTTTTTTTTTTGACAGACTGCATAGGCAATGACAAAGTTTCCTCAGTGAAAATGTCCTATCTAGGTCCTCAAAAAAATTTCAGAACTGGCAGCATGTTTTCAGGCATAAATATCTCATTCAAGCAAGGCATGCTTGACCTTGAGAAGCAGCTGGGGATTCTGAACATCGAGCTATGTGACTTCCCAGAGGCCACAATCAATCTATTGCTGACTACAGTGTTGACTCTGTATCATAGTGAGTCGGGAGAAAAAAGGGCAGAAGTAGCTTTTGACGTAGCTGATTTGGTTAGAAGGGCCCCTGAAGACCAGTCTGGATGATAGGGAAGTCAACCCACAGACTCTCTGTTTGGAATGGTTTAATTAAGGCACTTCAGTTGACATCTACATAATGTAATGTGAGTTGTGTCAAATTGCAGAGAAGCATTTTCTGCTCAAACCTGCCCCTGACTCTTCATTACCACATGAAAAAGTATTTACATTTGTCTCATTTTAGATTATTTCCAGATCATTTTCCAGCTGTTCTCATTTTCTTACTTGTTCCTTTAAGATTTTGTGTATTATTTGTTTATTTTCTGATCATGGACTTTGAGGCTGCTAAAATAAAAATTATAGCATGCAAAAATATCTAATATTTGGTTCATTAATATATGTAAGACATTTACAAAGACTTTATATATATTATTTCATTTAATCCTGTAACAATCTTACAAGTTAGTTATTATACTACTCATATTTTACAGATGCAGATGCTGAGTTTTAGAAGCTTGAAAGAAATTTTTCAAAGTTACAGATATAATAAAAAGGTATGTTTGAGTTTCAAACTTAGACCTATACTGTTTTAAAATTCATGCTTTTTCTAAGACTCCATGTTATGCTTCAGCTTTGCTTGGGAAAGCTATAATCTCCGATGAATTGTCTCTTTTATCATGTTTCATCAATGTGTGTTCACCCACTCAGCACCCATTTATTGAGACTGATATTTACCTGTTACCAGAGAGAGACTGATATAAGACACACTATTCTCTATCTTCAAATTCGTTTGTGAAAGCTGAAATTTGGTGTGCAACATCAATTCTGGTCATCATTAGCATCTATTTATTCAACTATAGATCATTTAACTTACTAATCCAAACCAAACCAATACCCCTTCCCTTCTGGTAAAAAACACTTAATCCAAAGCAAGAAGAGCTTTGCTCTTGTCCACTTAGGTCAGAATTTCACAAAAACCTACTAGTTTCTCTGCATCCTTTTTGCCTATGACTTTCTCTCTTCTGTGGCTCCCCTCAATTTAGTTTTTTGCCTTGATTTCCTTGAGCTGATGCTCAAAAAATACTTCTACTCTCAGAAGAAACATCATAATCCGGATGGTTTTACCTCTCTTGTTTGTCTCTCATACAGAGATGCACAACAAGAATAACAAAGCAATTAATGGTTCATATTCTGGTCTTTAAGTAAAAATGAAATCTTCTCATATTTCAGAAGAGTTTCTGGAATCATTATCTTTTTTCATTCAACATAAAAACTAAGTTTTTTTGAATGCCACCTCTCTTCCCTATTACCATAGTTATGCTGTCATGCATAATAGTTACACTTGTATAGCTCTATTATGAAACTATATTATGCATTCTTTATGGACAGGAACATTGTCTAATTCATCACGGCCCTTACATCATCTATGCCTACCACCGAGCCAATGAGAAGACATTCAATAAAGATGGTCGGTCCAAATCCTTTTCTTAGCTAATGTGTGTATATACCCATGTATTGAAGACATGTTGGCAAGCTACATCAGACAAGAAAGACCCTGACCTCGTGGGGTTTATGATCTTCAAGTTATTTCAGAAAGGTAGACAGACAGACGGAAGGGAAAAAATAAGGAAGGAGAAACTAATATTATGTGAGTAACTATAGTATGTGAAATGATGTTAGCCATCTTATGTTTGCTATTCCATTTAATCTTGTAGCTATACTCTGTAACAAAGGAAGTAAATTAAATTTGTGTTAGTTTATAATATGAAAGTAAACCTAAGTCATCAGCCTTTCTGAAGCATGATCATTTGGTGGTTGTTACTTCTGGGAGTTCTTTTCCTTCAGCAAAGGAAGAGTTTACCATTGCCTATAATAAGCACATTACTTCTTTTCCTGCCATTCTTCTCATCCTTTGGGCATTCACTAGTGATAATTCACTATTCTGTCATATTTAATTTTAAAAAGATATACTAAAGACCAAGGATCTACAAAACATTTTTCCCCTCCAAATTTCAACGTGGAGACCAGCTGGGAGAAATAAATAGGTCTTAAATAGCTACCAAGATGAGAGTTTGGTTTTTATTGCTTAGGCCACAGTTTTAAACTGAAAGATTGTTTCTATTACTTCCCTACAAATTGTATATTATACAAGTAGGAGTTGGTGGAGAATGATTTAGGAAGAAGACCATCTCCGGAAAGCTATATATAAATATTCATTTGACCTAAGGAATTGAAATAGCTTTTTACCACTTGCCTGAAGTCAAAGCCTTCATCTGTAGGCTGGAAGCATAGTTGTAAACTATGTCTCTAAAAGGTGCTCTCCCTTGCAAATAAAGTGGAACTTATTTAAAAGCAAGAAAATAAATGTGTCAGGTTAACCCAGTGGGCAGCAGTGTGATTGAATTTGGAAGATGAAGAACTTCCAACCAGGCCTTATGGAAAATGTAATGCCAAGTTGTAGTAAAGATCTCTCAGTACTTAGAGAGACAAGATAACTAGGGTCTGTTTGTAGATTAAAAAGATCGACGTGGAGTCTCATGACTTTGATCACAGAATCTTAACAAGCCAGATATTGATTTGGTTTACAAGCAATCACAAGAGCCCAAACTGTGTTTAAGTAGAGGAGACTGGAAGAGGTGAATAAGCTACCTACTGATTCAAAAGGGAAGATAAAAGACTATATGCTTAGATAGATGCATTAAAATATAAATCATCAAGCATTATTACAAGAGTAAAAAATGGAAAAAGAAGAATAGTTTTGAAGTTAGCTCTGTTTTCTCATTTGTGATTGTTAGCATTAGATATGAAATAAAAGGTTTAATATAATTAAATGCAAGTCCCTATTCTATGAGTTCCAACCCTTTGGGACTCAGTACCATTAACAATGCAAAATGTGTACTTAAAGTTTAACAACTTAAGTTTTGGAAGATCTTGTGCATTCTTTAATTTTTTTTTTTAAACAATTTGATTTGTCTTCAAATTTGAATGGTTTTTTTCAGTGTAACTGAAGAATCACTTTTAGGGGTCTCCAAAGAATAAAGAAGCTTTTACAAATAATTTTTAGTTTTTCTTAATAAAAGCAAACATTTTCTAAATGCTATCTTTGATAGATTCAGGATGTTAAGAGTGTAAATGCCAAATAGCAGGTTATATGTGATGCAAAGTAGTGACTATAGCAGGATATAAAAGGACTTAGATGTCATAGGAGAGCAAACCAGGAACAGATTTATGTAGTACAAATAATACAATTTCACATAATTTTATGTTGCCAATAAGAATAGGTCCCTGGAGTAGCAAAATGATGTCATGGAGCACTTAGGCATATGGTATATTCTATACTGGTCTTTCTTAAGTACCTTTTTGGCTTTGGGACTGTTGGGTGGTATTATCAGTAACTAGAATAGAACTTGAAGGGAGAATAGCTTTTAAGTTTTTTTGGTCACAGAGCCATTTAAAAAACTGATAAAACTTACTCATATTTTTACTGTTAAAAGGGCATATATGTACCTGCACACAAAATTTTACACACAAATTATGGATTATTGTATTTATTAATCTGCACCCTCCAGAAGCAGATACTAAAATGTAGGAGATCGATCAGGGTGAGGTCTGTGAGCAACAATTGGGAAGGAACTGGAGGGAGAAGATGATGTAAGTCTGCCTCAGATGAAGGAGAAAGGGAAAAAAGGATCCATCTGAGACTGTACAGTTCCACGAGGTTCCTCAAGGTTGTGCGGGAGTTCTCAGGCCAAAGTTACATGTAATAGAAATCCCCATCCCCTAGGAACAGGTGCTTTTAGTATCTCTACCATGCTAAGTCTCTGACTGGGAGAAGCCTGCGGGGTTTGTGGGCTCCATGGAACGTCTTAATGAACATCAGAGTGCAGCAGCTGAGCCCATAAGTCAATTACACTCCTGCACCCAGAGATCTGGGAGGCACACATCTCATGGATCTCATCTCACAGATCTCATGAGCCACATTCTCATGGTTCCCACACTCACAGATCCCAGGATGAAAACCTTTTTATGTAAGCAGTATCAGATGTTGCCTAGAGAACAGTTTTTAGTACACAATGAGTCACTGTTATTTTATTTTCTTTATTCCAGGTATCACTACAAAATGCCGAGAAAACACAAAGGTCCTGACCTTGCATATAAAAACTGTTGGATATGTCAACACTGAAAATAGGAAAGCTGCCTTCAAGAGAAAGTGGATCAACTCAGGACTAAGTTGTAAGATGACGTGAGCCTAAGGCTCAAGATCTTGTAAGTGGCTCCCCCTTTTATGGAAGTTGTACCCAGAGGATGAACAAGTTAACATAGTTCACAGTGGCACAGTGGAAAAACAAAATTGACACTGAAATCTTTATCCTGTTTACCTCAATTAGTTATTGAACTCAACTGGTTCAATAAAGAGGTGTTGAGCAAATACTGCACACTAGACTCTGCTGCATGCTGAGTGTCCAAGGGCAAGAAAACACAGTCACTGACCTCAAGGATCCCACCAGAAAGGCATGCCAGTGCATTATTTAGTTTGCTACTCTCCTCCCCAAACCCCTTTGCCCCCTGCGCTTGTCTGCCCTGCCTTCCACACCTAGAGGTTGACTCTAGGCTCTGCATCACCTCAGCTTGTGACTTCTAGTTGGGCTTGACCAAAAAGAGGCACGAGGAGGTGATCGGAAGGTGGAAGAGAGAGAGGTCAGGGCTTTTCTTTCCCCCTCCCTTCTGCTCTGAACTGTGTTTTCTGGTGATAGTTGTTCTTCCATGACTACAGTTTTTGCAAGGCAGCCCCTTCACCATGGCTTCAGCTCTCAACATTACAGTGACACCCGTTACTTTCCTTGCTGTTTTATGCCTTTGAGTGCTAGTAATGTCTTAATGTCACTAATCTCTGGTCTTTAACATCCCTTTCTGGTTTCATTAACCCTTCCTACACCTTTGTAAGTATATGTTTAAGTCTCTTGAACCATTTACGTACTAATCTGTGTCTTCCCAGACTTTGACTGTTATAGGAGAAGCCATACATAATGCAGGAACAAAAAGGAGTATCACGGGAGAGGAATACTGCATTGACCTTTTTTAGCAAGATCTTTTTGAACATGCAGCAATGGGGGGTGGGGAATGAGGCTGTTGAGAAAGGTTATTTGAGAGAGGATGTTAATAATTTAACACAGGAAAAAGAGAGTGTTAGATGAAGACTTAACAGAATTTAGCCTGACATATTCATTCAGATTTTTACCATTGTGTCTTTTCTTCTTTGTACCTTGGCTGAACTATCTTTTATTTCCACAAAATGTTACCACTTCAGAAATGTCCATGAGCTCATCTCACATTTATTTACTGCTGAAGAATAATGATGGGCTTAAGGGCATGATATGCTTGTAGGCTGAACACTAGAGTTATGCCTTTGGGGAATATTTTCTTTTTAATATGATGTTCACTTTCTCAGAGCGTAATATTCTCACTTAAGGGCCATCCTCACTTCATTAAAGACTGAAAAATGGGGACTTGTGCTAATGTGTGTAGCTGATGGAGTTTTCTATAGGTTATTTTATCTATTTTGTATGTCTACAGCTGCTATGACCTTTTTACCTTGATCCATTTGACGGGTTGGCTAATTTAGCACGAAACTATAGCAAGTAAGAGAAAATCATCTTCTTGAACATCTGAGGAAGATGTGGACATGTTGGAGGAAGCTAAACAAACGTGAATCTTTGACCTTCTCCTTTATCTAGTGCTTCAGCCCAGTGAGCTCATTACAAGAAAATCTGTTACCATCCCTCACATGTTGGCAGATGACTTGTACCGAGCACATGCTGCCCTCCTGACAGGGGATCAGGAGAAACCCAGTTTGTGCATGACCCATCCTTGCTAAATAGCAAATCCCTGTAGTTACTTGCATTACGCAAAGCTGCTTGATGCACATTAAAGAGAACCTTTTGAACCTTACACTCATTTTTTTTCTTTTTCCTTTTTTTCGTTTTCTGACTTCTGTGGTGTGACTGCCTTGGAGTCTTATCACATGTGCTTGTACTCTGGGCAGCTAATGAATATGGATGTTGTTTGTGCTAATTCTTGCAGCTGTAAAAGGCTAGATTTGGAAGCAATGCCAGCTTTTAGTTTCAAGGAAACTTTCAGTAAATAATGCGACTTAGATCCTGTTGAATTCAAAGGGGATGTTAGAGTCCAGAGAAATAAGCCATGTTGTGTATCTTTTTTCTCCTATTTTTTTAAAAGGAAAATAAAATAAAAGTCAAGATAGGATTCCTTTTTCTCTTTTTGGAAAACCTTAAAATCTGTACCCCCATAATATGCCAAAATAAAAAAAAAATAAAGAAAAACTGTTTGAAGGCTAAAATAACTGCCCTATAGTTTATGTAGTGGTTTTTGGATTCTTAGTCAAACACTTTTTATTTTTTATTTTTTTTCTGGCAAGCCTTCCTGATAGCTGGTGTCATTTTAGTGTGCAAAGGGTAATGCACACTTTGTAGAAAACTCGAATCCATACTTCATGACAATTACATAGAGCCTGAAATTATACAAGTATATGCCATTTCAAATAAGGTTTCTAAGTGATAAGGTGGAAAGAACATTGGGTTACAATCCTAACTGCACTGATAATTTACTTCTTGACCTTGGACCATTCTCTTCCCTGGACTTTGAGAGATGGGGTTAGTTTATATAATTTTTCAGTTTCAACACTGATTTTGATGTTAAAATCAACCATCTAAAGGTGAGACTAACCTTGATTATTAGCAAACGAACATGGCTAATGGTGAAATTTAATGAAGAGTCTCTTAGTACTGTTCAAGTCAGACTTCAGCCACATTGTAGAGAAAAGTTTCCAATCAATCTATTGTATAAAATTAGGCTGAAAGGAAACCAATCTGAATTTGTAAAAGATCTGGTATATATAGTATTTTAAAAGAAAGGGAATGTTACTACTGCTATCTTTCTTACAGAAACATAAACTAGGTTTTAAAAGGTGGTCAGAGTATTTTACCACCTTTTAATTTACCAATAAATTACTATTGATCTGTTTACACTTCTATATATCCAGCTAATATGTAATTCATAACTTAATAATTTATATGCAAAAGAGAGAACCTCAAATATTTGTGATTTTACAAATTTTGTGCATTCTTAATACTCCAGTCCTCTGCATAACTGTAGGTATCCATTAATAGTGATGCTCTTTTCTAGGTATGGCATCATCCAGATGCCCCTGCCTAAGGCTCTATAATGTGGAACTATTCGACTCTTCTCTTGAACTCATGCACTTAACTAATGGCCCAAATGATATACCTACTATCTAGTGGGTTACCATAGAGATGAAAGGGTTATTGCACACTTTGTTGTGTAGAATAGAGTAGGAATTGGGCTACAGCTGCCACTTTTGCTTTGGTTCTCTACATGAAATATTATTCAAGGCCACTGATAATTCAAATTTAGTGGAGCAGTACATATTATTACATAGGACTAAAAGTGATATTAACCAATTTTTGAGTTAAGTAGAACTAATTGTCCAAAATGAGGTGCTAATTTATCTTTTATGAAAGTCTCATGTGACTGTGAGAAGGTGAAATTGAAGAGTGTCTAGATTAGGAATTGAAGCATGTCAATGTTATTTGACAAAGTCTGAACAAGGAAACATGCAGAGTTCTTTTATTGCAAAGAATACAGGGAATTGATTTTGGAAAGGTGACCTTAAACTAGATGAACCATGCAAATATGAAAGTTAAGAGGGTCACAAATACAATTAAAAAAACCCATGTGGCCATGTGACTGAGTTCTAGACCATGCCATATGACAAGCCTGTTAGCAGAGCTGGTTTTGACTCTCCTATGCATACTCCTCCCTATGGCTGACTGGAATAGAGACAACCTGTACGGGGAACTTTGGAAGACATATATTGAAGATGGCAAAGCTTCCATCAGCCCATATCTGATGATGTCATGGAGGAAGACTATCCTGATCACCTGCTCACTTGTCCTATATTGTTACATGAATCATAAATAATCTTCTTTTGGTTGACACTATTTGTTAAAGCAGTTAGCTTTATTGTATGAATACAAAGTCTAAACAAAATATAAATTCTAAACAGTCACTTATAAAATTCGCGTGGGGTCATAAATCCTTCTGAGAATTTTATGACAATTTTTGATATCTCCTCCTTAAAAATGCCTACATTCCACATACACCATATTTTGCCTATAATTTCCTGAACCTTATGAAGTACATGCATAGATATTAAAGATATACAGTCTAAAGGATATTGAAATTCAGGCATGGAGCATATCATCAGTGAGGATCATATGGGAAGGCCAATTGGCTTAAGATATCTCAAAATAGTTGTTGGAGATTTTTTTCATTTTTGAATATGTAGTCTGGGGCACCAAAATTCCAAGGATTGGGTTTATTAGGCAGGACACCCAGCCAGTGGTAGTAGAATTGGGAGGCTGAGCACTCAGCTTCTGGAGTTCTAGAAGAACAGTCTACAATCACATAATAAGGGTAATAGATTATGAATAGATTTTACATGAATTAGGCCTTTTAGTTGCAAGGAAGAGAGATTTATGAAAGCGAACTAAAGTCCTGATGGGTTGATAGTAAGAATACGTATGGCATTAAAGAAGACTGGAATCTCATAGAAATAATAGGAGACCATGTGATTTCACGTATTAGTAATTAGTTCTAAATATAAAGCAGCTGAGAGCTAGGTTATAGTTTCCCTCCAGAAATGAATTTTTGTTGTTGTTATTTCTATAATGTCATCATCTATCATTAGGCCACTCCTGTATTTTGTATTTGTTTGTTTGCCTCAGTTTGAACCTGTTTTTTTTTTTCCTTCTACTAAGCTAATCCTCTGCATATGGTGAAGCAAAACAAAATTTGGTTTACAGAATTATTCACAATTACACACCCTGGATATTTTGTCATACTAGATTGCCACGTAGATTGCTGTACTGTTTAACTATCAGTTGTCCTTGAGTTACGTACTTACTATGGTAGTATAATGTCTGGAGTTTTGGGGAAAAGGGATAACAATAATATAAAATAAATCTTGTCCTTCAAAGCTTCAGAGAATTTTCTCAGTAAAAATTATGAATGAGGTCGCTCCCCCAAATATAGAAGATAATGTGACTGTGGTTGGCATTAGAGTTATCTAGTATAGCCACTAATGTGATAGTAAATCAGCTTAATGGAAAAAACGAAAAGGTTTTTATTTATAGTGTTTGCCAATTTCCATGGTGTAAATACTCTCATCTTGGCCAATCTCAGCTACTTATGGTTTTAAATATGGCTTAAAAATTCCTAAATATTTAATAATTGGCTCTTCTGAGCCAGCAGTTTTCAGCATCAGTACATCATTCATATAAGACCTTATACTAAACCAGATTGAAAAAAAAATACACATCACTCATGCCAAGATTAGAATTAGTCAAACTGACTAGAAGTTTTTTAAGACTTCCAGAATATACATACACACAATCACAAAATTGCTTAGGAAGTAGATGTTACTTTTTTGTGTAACACTGATAAAAACTTCAGCACTTCGTCCTTGGGATTTGCAATGTCTGCAGCAAGATCCCAGCTACATTTTCAGCAACACAAAGTGTTCTCCAATGAAAGGATGTTTGAGGGAGCTATAATTAGATATGACAGGAGTTTAATATATTGAAGACCTAACATTGATTTGGTTTTATATTTGCATTCATGATATATGCTTATACTTGATTTCCTTAACTGGGTCTGACACCTTTATTGGAATACTTGCAAAATAGAAAGGAATGGGTTACATGAAATATGACAGCATGGTTTGGACCAGATGGAAGCTTTCTGAACTGATGCATTATGGCATCTGAGGAGCTGGCAACTGCTAGACTGACTATGACCATTAGCTGAATGGGAAACCATTGCACTCTTGAGATAAGCTGATATGACCCCATGAACTATCCTTCTCTCCTCATTCATGACAGATCCGGCGCAATGTAGTATACAGACAGCCTACTTATTATCTCAAACCACATGTTAACATAAACTAGATATAATGAACAAGGGAATCATTGCTGAGAGATGGGAGTAGTGTCACAGACATTATGATAATGAAAGGAAGAAATGATAGAGGCTGATGTAAACATTACACCCCATGTCTTTGTGAACTTATTATAAACACAAAAAACAATCAATTTTTCCCTCAGTAGTTGCCTCTCTTTCTCTGTGTGGCCAACGAGGCTCCAAAATCAAGGAAATCAGATCCATATCCTTTTCTTTTATTCCCTACCTATTGTTGTTGTTTACTTGGCGCCCTTTCTACCTATATTCTTTGAACTGAGTTTGGATTTCTGTAACTTTAAGACAATCTAACTGATGCAGGAAGCGACCACTATACTATGTTTAAAGGAGACTTATTATAAAAGGTAACTCTTGGGGAGCGCTTTTCGATAATGTTGTAATATATGATTGTAGTGGGTTGTTGGAGAGGTTTTCCGAGGTTAAGGGGCCTGCATAGTATACCATTATCAGTTGAGGGAAATGTGTGTGTCTTAGTATGTTTTATGTTACTATAAATGGATATTTGAGACTGAAAAGAAATTTATTTCTTACAGTTTTAGAGTCTAAGAAGTTCAAGAACATGGTGCCAGCCTCTGGTGAGGTCCTTCTTGCCCCATCATCACATGTGGGGGACATCACATGGTGAGAGGGCAAGAGAATGTGTGTCAACTCAGGTCTCTCTTCCTCTTCTTATATATAAGACCACAAGTCCCGCCATGACCCACCCCCATAACCTTATAAAATCCTAATTACCTCCCAAGGGCCCAACTTAAATTAGCATGCAAATTTGGGATTAAGTTTTCAACACAGGAGATTTTGGGGATACATTCAAATCATAGCCATATGTAAGCAGGTGAGGGTAGAATTTTCCCAGAGAGGCCTCCTTTACAGATGAGTGTAGAGTTCCTAGCAGTTGTAGTGGTAATTCAAATCCCACGTATTGCTACACTCTATCTCTAAACTTTATTCCTAGAAGTTTCTATCTCCTGACAGGTACCATCCACAGGCCCATATCTCTTTGCAAGTAACTACCTGATGGCTAGCAATTATAGTCCCTGTAGGAACATCCCCCAAAAGTCTAACCTCTATAAAAGGCTGAGCCCTTCCCCAAGGTATAGTCTAAGGCCAAAGATTTTAGATTCTATGTATTCAAATAATCATAAATACTTGTTAAAATGTAGGTTCCTTTTGTAATCCACCTATGGATGGAGGCAGAGATTTGGAGGAAGGATTGCATATTTTTAACAAGCAATCAAGATAGTTCTTAAGCATCCAGTAATATTTCCAACCACATTTTAGACATTACCTCCCCAAATTGAGACATACTTACTTACACAGTTGTTTACGTCTCATTCCAGTGTGATTATCTTCATCCATGGGCATTCTTTTCTAGGCATAATCATAAGTTATTTACTAGAGAGGAAAAAAAGTTCCTAGAATGCCTGTGTGACAACTCAGGGACAGAAAAATTCAACAATATATGTTACCAATAAAGGAAATTATGGAATTGCCTAAGAGAATCTAATATATATTGTATATATATGAGTTTATATACAAACACATATATATGCATGAGTATGTGTGTTATGGTATTATTTAATATGGATGGGTCTGATCTTGTAAACAGAGTGGATAGTTCTAGTCTTCTATATTTCTAGATATTACATAATGATATTTATAGAAGAGAGTTTGAAGGCCCATGTAAAATCTTGGAAAGTGATTGAGAACAAGACTTGAAATGGATGCTGGAGAATGGAGTGACACTACGTAGGGTATGGACGCCTAAATTTGAAAGCTCTGTGTAAACGCTTTTTTAAAAAAATATTAGAGTTTCATGCATCTCATTCATGCAGTTCAATATTGATATTTTTTAGAAGTGCTTTTAAAAGCATTTCTAAAGAATGAACTGAAAAAAAAAATGAACGAACTCAATCCAAGCTTCCCACAGGGTTCATAGCTTTGTCCAGATGCTGTCATGCTGTGAAATACTTGTATTTTTGCTTTATGATACTTTTATTTAAATGCTTCAAAAGATCTTACAATGACAATGCAGGAGCATGCATGCATTTTAATACTTAAAATGTATTCTATATAAGAAGGGCATTTTATTTTCTCATGTTTTGGGGATTAATTACATGTACTAACTCATTGGAGCTGCCACACTGTTTTTATTTGTAGAGGAAAGAAAACATCCTCCAAAGGAAAGCCCTTTGCATTGGCATTTTCCCATGGCCCTCACTTAGAGTGATAGGCTTTTCTTTTTTTTTTTTTGAGACAGAGTCTCACTTTATTGCCCAGGCTATAGTGAGTGCCGTGGCGTCAGCCTAGCTCACAGCAACCTCACACTCCTGGGCTCAAGTGATCCTTCTGCCTCAGCCTCCCGAGTGGCTGGGACTACAGGCATGTGCCACCATGCCCGGCTAATTTTTTCTATACATATTAGTTGGCCAATTAATTTCTTTCTATTTATGGTAGAGATGGGGTCTCACTCTTGCTCAGGCTGGTTTCGAACTCCTGACCTCGAGCAATCCGCCCGCCTCGGCCTCCCAGAGTGCTAGGATTACAGGCGTGAGCCACCACGCCCGGCCGTGATAGGCTTTTCTTAACCAAATGTAATGTGGGAAACTTTTAACTATCTAATGTTTCATATTCATAGGTTACAAAGCTGTTACTGAGATCAGAGCCTGGGTAGTTGGAGCTATGCAAGGGAAATACATCAGTTATTATAGGTAACTATAAATAATTATATCTTATTTTAAAACTAGACACTAGATAATGTATTGTAGCGATTCTTAATTCTATTTTGTTCTTCAGAGAGTGGCCGTTTTGTTTGTTTGCTTGTTTTAGTAGGTAATTAACTTGCCTGGTTTCAAAATGTGAACTCTATCTCCTCTGTGATGTGTGCCCACTGATATCTTTGCTCATTGTTTTTTTTTTTTTCCTTTTCCTTTAATTTTGGCCCTGAGAGTTCTACTTTCTGTCTGTGTATTTTAGAAATTAGCCAATGATTTAGACATAGGCTATGCTCAGACACCACAAGTCAGTAAGTCTTCTACTCTCTGCCCCCTGAGCTATGGATTGAGGAGTGGTACCGAAAAGTGCAGGACATTTTCAAGTTTATCCAAGGCGTTAATTTTCATTGGGCTCTCTAAGTCCTGCATGCACACATAGTTTAGAAGTTATCCAGCGATACTAGTATAGTTTATCTCAGCCTTTCTATGACTATCATGAGTCTAAACTCCTCCTCTTCAAATTCTAGTTCTGTGCTGTGGACCTTAAACTAAACAAGTACTTCTGGCCAGAGATGCTGTGGCTTTCACCCCCAGAGCTAGAGAGTGGGAACAATTCCATATGGAAAGTCAACAAATTCACCTTTCTTAACTAATGCAGCAATGGTTTTTTATGAATAAACACTTGTCAAGTTGTTGCCTGCCTTTGATCATAAGAAGTTGTAATGTAATACATTTTTTCAATTTATTTCTTTACTTTCTAATTTTTTTTATTTCAGGAAATTATAGGGATACAAACATTTTGGTTACATGTTATGACTTTGCCACATCCCAACCATGATTTGAGACATGCCCTTTCCCCCCTACAGCACTCACTGTGTCCATTAGTTGTGAGTTTACCCACCCCCACACCCCCTACCTCCAAAGAATAATACTACCGTGTGAGCACCTTAGTGTTGATCAGTCAGTGCCAGTTGGATTGTACATGTGATGCCCATTCTTCCATCCTTGTGATACCTCACTTCGGAGGATTGGCTCAAGCTCTATCCAGGAAAATATAAGAGGTGCTAGATCACCATCATTTCTCATAATTGAGTAATATTCCATCGTATACATATAGCATATTTTATTAATCCACTCATGGATTGACAGGCACTTGGGTTGTTTCCACATCCTTGCTATAGTGAATTGTACTGCCATAAACATTCGAGTGCAGATGTCTTGATTATAGAATGTCTTTTGTTCCTTTGGGTAGATGCCTAATAGTGGTATTAGTGGATCAAATGGTAGTTCTACTTGTAGCTCTTTAAGGTGTCTCCAAATTCTTTTCCACAGAAGTTGCACTAATTAGGATTCCCACCAGCAGTGTAGGAGTGTTCCTATCTCTCCACATCCTTGCCAACATTTGTTGCTTTGGGATTTTTTGATACAGGCTATTTAAAAAAAACAAAAACAAAAAACTATTCTCAAGAAAAGCCTGCTTAAAAAAGTTATAATTCCCAAAATGTGAGACTTACTACTTTGCAGCATTTTATTTTTGTATTAACTCAAACAAATAAGGTAAGATGAAGTAGAGAGAGTACTAAGAAAAAAAATGTAAAGGTGACTATTTGCCTTATTTATCTGATAACAATTGTAATTAAAGAAATTCCTATCATTTTCCATACTTGTAATTAATTCATTTCTGAACTTACTTTCTCCACAGTGTTCTACAATAATCTTGTGCATGTGCTGTTCTGTCCCTATAATGAGCTCTAATTAGTGTTTCCTAGGAGGCAAAGTTACTGATGAATAATTTTATAATTCTGTGAAATTCAAGGTTTATTGGTTTAGTTTTTTGTCTTTCCTTATTTTCTCAATGCGAAAACCAGTGATTTTTCTTTAACATTGTGAATATGTTGATTCAATTGTTGGAAATAAGGCTGGAAATTTGAGAAATACAATCTACATGTAGTAATTAATCAAAGTAAAATCAATTTGGCTGAACTTTTTGCTTATTTTACTCAAGCAATGAGCATTTCTGAAAGCAAAATACATGGATCTGCATTCTGCAATTTAGCATATTTGTTAAGGGGTTAATGTTAGAAAAAAATCATGAAAGCACTTTTAAGAAAGCAGAATTCTATATCAATAGAATTATCAATATCAACCTAATATTAAACATGAATATCTATTTTGAATATAGATGTACTTTTCTTAGAAGTAGATATGATAGAGCCTAAGTAACAAAGGCAGGTTTAAAAAATAAAGAAAAAGAGGAGCTTTTTTTTCTGTTCATTTTCTCTGGTGAAACCAGAATTTAGAAACATGAAAATAAAACAGAACATTTCTCTTGACTGTTTTGAATGGTATTGAATGTGCCTCTTTTTTGATCTCTTGTATTGTATGATTCATTATTCTCACTTGAATCTGGCATTTGATGAGTTACAATTAAGGAATGTGCATTTTGAGGTGTAAGAAAATGAGGAAAATAAGTAAATGAGATAAAAATGTGCTTTAGAAACCAAGTCACTCTTGGGACTCCTATACAAATCTTAAAAAGGTATAATTTTCCTTCTGTATACTCATCAAGGAGCATCTTTAAATCTGATATCATATCTATTTCAAAAATTTGCCTTTGATGGAGAAAAGATGCTTTAATTAAATGTGTTATTACTTACATATTTGCTTTGTTTCTTCCCTCCCCATATTCTAAGTGGAATTGAAATTATACTGGCTAATGTAGGAATTTTAAGTATATATAGCTTTAAAAGATTCAAAATGTACCACAAAGGCTTTAAAACTTTGGGGTACCATCATCTAGTTATGAACATATAAACCATTGTCTTAATTAGATAACCATCCAATTAAATATTTTTCAATGTACTTTCTGAAATGTTTTTGAGATAATTAAAATTATCAATTTGATTTTTATTTCAATGTCCTATTGCCTGGAAAAG